TCCATTTGTCTAAAGAGTTGCCACAAATAGAAACAGAAAGAGACCCTTGTGCAGCCTTAAAGACTGCCACCTTGCATTTTACTAATAGAGACAGATTGTTCAGTGCTATGGATGGGTAGTCAAGAGTGTCGCACATGCTCATCTAGCAATGAGCTAGATTTTAGCAGCAGCATTTAGAAGTCTCCTGTTCTCGCGACTGCTGCCTTTGCTCAGAATCCATTTGGTCTGTTTGCGGCACACAGGTTCAGAAATACGCTCAGGGCACATTTCTCAGTCTCCACACGTTAAAGTAACATGAAAAGCTGGGAAGCGCTCTCTTCTTCCAGCTGTTCCTGTCTACCTGAAACTCTCCCTGTTTCCTGGACACTAGAAAATATCTTCCCATCTTGAGCCTGAAAACACCCATTTAGGCTGAAGCTGGTGTGAGTTGCCTGGATTCTTCTGAAAGAACGTGCTGTGTTAGTTCACCCATGTTATTTCTGTAGTAGAGAAGTAAATGAAAGTTGTTGTTACTCTTAAGTTCATGTCCATACTACCCCACAGTGGAAGCTCTTCCCAGCCAATGCTGCCTCTGCAGTTGACTTCCAGATGTTTTGGGCCTGGACTGCCAGCATTCCCAACCATTGGCCGTTCTGGCAGGTGCTTCAGGGAACATCTGGAGAGCTACCTCCGGTCCACACTAGCACACTGGTGGCTGCAGATCGGTTCTTATGCGCTCCCCAGTGCACAGCTGTCTAGTTCGCACACCACAGCTTTCTATTTTGAACCGAGGATAACCTGTTGTAGGACAAGTGCTTTTTTTCCTAGTATGCATTTTAAATGACAGGGCAAGCACCCTCTTTGCTTTTCAGCATCAAGAGAGGGCAGAGTATTCCAGACTAAATGAATATTGCATGCCATAATCTGAAGAGTGATGCGGCAAAGTGATTCTCGGTATGAAAATGAGCACACTCCTGTTTCATCTGTGAAATACTGGAGGGGCCGAGTTCTCAGCCCTGGGGAAATTGATTTGCTCCGAATGAGCTCTGGAGCACACACTAGTCCGGTTCAGACCGCCACTTCACAAGCAGTTCCCAGCCTCAGCAATGTGCGGCTGTCACTTCTGTCTTCCCTGGTCAACTCAAGTGATACCTGGCCATTGACGTGCCACCTGGAAGTCCAGCAGCACTGGAAGGAGCCACCATTGGGAGCCACTCCCCTAAACCCCTCTTGCAGCGACAAATGAGTTATGGCTTCCCATCCTGGCTTGTTTCAAAATGAAAGCAAGCATTTCCCTCTTCCCCTCTCAAAGGCAGAGGTGGAGACGAAATGGGGAGCCCAAGGAATGAACTCGGCTTGATTCATGGTCAGCAGACTCTGGGTCATTGTTAAAAGACTTGTCCAACAGACAAAGCCATGGTTGGGAAGCAGAATATTTTCTTCTTATGCCTTGGCTGTGTCTCAGGGCCGTAAATAAATATCTTCCAATGAGGTTTAGTTCAGTTTTCCTCCCTCTTGTCAAACCAAGCAGCCAGATGTGTTTGAAGTGACACTGATCCTTAAAAACCTGCACACAAACACTCCCCACTTCTCCCTTTTGCTTTTCCTGTTGTCTCCAAATACAGCAGAATTTGTATCTCCCTTGAATCAGGTTGCTAGTTTCCCTGAGGTCAGGTATATTTTCAGGACCAAGGGACGGGGGAAAGGGCCAACACAGGATTGTTCATGATTGTGGTACTCTTTCCAACCTGTTCAGTGTGGTTAGTACTAATCTCCTTTAAATGCCCTTTTGCCTCTCCTTCCTGGCAGCTTGAAGGGTTGGGGAGGGGGGAATCGAAACTGAAATCCTCTGCTGTGTTATTTGCTAATGAGTTACTAATGATGAAGATGTTTTTGGCAATCAAGCAATTAATGACCTGCGGAAGTGGACTTTCCTAGGGCTGGGCAAAATCGTGGGTCCCTGTGGTATGCAGTCTAATTGTACTAATAATGCCTGAATTCACTGAAGTCCCCAAATTTCAGGAATGGCTTAGCAAGTCAAATGAATTGCAGAATTCCAGCTGCAAATGAGCAGGCTTGCTGTTGTGGAACAGTGACAATGAAATGACGTGACTGGGAGAGCAGATCAAGGGGGCAGGTTGAGGACGGAGGTGATGCTAGATGGGAGCTGCCCTTTTGGCGGAGCAAAGTTGGGGTTGGGTGTGGGGTTGGGATGCAGAGGAGCCAGGATGGCTCACAACCCTGGCGCAAACCAGATTGGTTTAGCAAAACTGGCTCAGGTAAGCCAACTGAGTGACCTGAGCGACATATCCAAGCCCTGAATTTCCCTTCCCGTGACACAGAGTTTCAGACATCGAATACAATTTGCTCCTCATATCTAGATTCCTGTTTTCAAAAGAAAGAACGTGTGTGTTTTCAAAACTTTACAAACCTGCAGTCTTCTCTTCCCAGCTCCTGGAAATGTGCCACAGGAGTTGAGTCTAGGAGCCCCCATTGCAAGGCTCCATGGGACTGGATTAATCAGGTGCGAATCTGGGGTTCTGAAAGCACCCCAGGCTCTCAATGCAGTTCTACAGTCCCTTCAGTAGCGCAGACGACATTATTTCTAGCATACTGCCAAACTGGACAAAGGTAGTGCAGACGAGCAGTTTTATGCAACTGTTGCTAACGGTTTGCTGTCTTCTCCCCCCCCCCCCCGCCGCTTTGGGTTGATTGGCACAGCTTCTTGTGAACTAGCATTGGGTGCTGCAGTTGTGCAAATTAGTGTGAGAAGTGCAAGGAGAGCAGTGCCTGGTGAGGCACGTGAAGGTCATTTGCAAATGCCTTGTCACGGTTTTCTCCTACGGGGAGGAAGCGTCCGGGGGGCATTTCTTACAGGTCAAACCCTTGTTATTAGGCCCTCTGAACAGCCTAAGAAGAGCTTAGAAAAACTTTTAATGAATAAATAGTAATAGTCAGGAGGAAGTGGGTGGCAGATTGGAAATGTGGAATGGTGTATATAGAGACGATATATGTAGGGCGGGGGGATTTCTACTTTTAACATCATCTTGCAAACAAAAATATTTAATGTTTTATAAATGGAGACTTCGGAATGAGAAGCACAAAAGTGACCAGGGTGCCTCTCCGTTACTTGCGGAATTTTTACCTTGTTCTTCAGCCAACAGAGGCTTCTAGAACAGCTTAGAAAGTAAGATTAATATGAGATCAGGGTTACAGTCTAAAAGGCACAGCACAAAAGGAAAAGGGGTGGGCAGGGAAGAAGAAGAAAAGCAAAATGATAACTAATAGGTTGCTGAGCAGCAGCAAAGATTGAGTATGTGTGTTTGGGGGGCGGTCTTCCCTTCATGTCCTTCTGGCTTGTGGGTGCCTGAAAGACATGGGTTGGGTCATTATGGAATGCTGGACTGAATAGACATTCTGCAGAATTGAACACTTAAACTTAGATCTCTTAGACTGCCATCTTTTCCTCTGTTCACCAAATGGCACGGAGTACTTCAGTTTTTTTCTTTTGATCTGAGAGAGATTAAACACAGATGTGTCAGCGTCCTGGGAACTCACTAAGTTTTGCCGTTTTCCTGCATAAACGAGGGTGCCGCATTTAACATGTTGCAAAGTGGGTTATCAGTGCCACTGGACCCGCCAAACTCCTGTCCCAAACGAGATGCATTACCCCGCCCCATAAAGCCAGGTGGTGTGCGTCGCAGGAGTTACAGGACTCCGTTTCCACAGCCTGCACTTGATTTCCTGCATCCCCTGTTGCTGTACGGCTGTTGTGAAGGCTTTTGCATCGCTCGTGTGTGTTCCATTTCTACCCCGTTAGAAGCTGCCAAGTCTCATGTTTTGGAACTGGGTTCTGTTCTGTAGGTTCCCTCGGAGAGCTGTAGCTTTGTTTTAATGGGTTTCTCTATTTATTTGCCCATTGAGTGGGTGCCAGGAACGTGCCAGTAGATCCTTTCCTCCTCCTCAAAGAGATATGTGCTTGAATCACTAAGCTGCGCTGAAGCTGGCTGCCAAAAATCTTCAACTTGGTTTTGCTCAGGATGTAGAAAGCTGACAGCGGGTATCCAACGGCCTTAAACTGGCCCAAATCAGATGCTGCATTTGAAGTGGCAGAACAGAACAGACAGTGCGGTACAGATGAGAGGTCGGTAACTTTCATAGTTGCTTAAAGGCCTCAGGATATCCTGATGAGGTATAGAGGAAGCAGTGCGAGAAGAAAAGAGACAAATACTCACCTCCAGATCTTGGCTGACCTGCTGCAATGAATAGAAAGGAGAGCCAGGGAACTGCAGCGCTCCAACAAGCTCCGTTTATTACAGCGAGTGCTTTCTGGGGAGAGCAAAGCTGATCTCTTTTAACCCTTATCAATAACAGCAGAGCTGCTTTTCCCTCTTGCTTTCTTGGAGGCAAATGCGCACATCCAGAGCCACAAGGCCCTTGCAAAAGCATGGCTATGTTCGCCTGCTTCCTGGCCATGGGTAGCTGATGATTCATGATCATACTTTTCGTACTACTGACCCATTCCCACCTGTCCCTTGCTGCTTAATGAGACATCCATAATATGAAAAGTGCCACAGGCTTTATCTCTGCCCGAAGCCAGTGGGGCTTCATGGACAGGTAGGAAAGGTGGTGAGGGGAAAAAAATATTACTCATGTGCAACAAAGATTTATGTCCTTTTTATTTCATGTTTGATCTAGGCTATTCCCAAAAAGTAACTCTTTATTTGAGTGTGGCGTGTGTGTGTTCATGCACGCACACACAGGTTGGAACTACCGGCACAGTCTGTTTTCAGACTAGCAACCCCCTGTTGATTTAATCCATATTAATCTTAAAGAGATTTTCTGCACAGGTGTGGCCAACCTTCTCCTCCTCACATGCAAATGTTGATTTGTGCATGCAAGTTGATATGGCGATATAACCAAGGTGCCTTACTGTAATTCATTTTGCAAGCAGTCCTAAAGAAGGAGAGCCTGTTTCATCATAATTAATAGTTCTTTCTCTCTATTTCATTTTCAAACAGGGTTTGGGTTTGTAACTTTTGAAAATGAAGACGTGGTGGAAAAAGTCTGTGAAATCCATTTTCATGAAATCAATAATAAAATGGTAAGTTTTCCCAGTCAGTTTTAAATAGATGTAGTGGGGTGCCTTTCGATTGTCTGGATGGGGGAGTGTTTGTGACGTGCATTCATGAATCAGTGGTTGTCTGAACATCCTCTGTGAAGTACCTTTATGTACGATGTGGCTTATACAATGCTCTCTTAGGCACCAGCTGTTCATATGTACCACGGGAGTCTCCGATAAATCAATGTTGCTGTTCTTCCTTGTGGGGAGATGATGAAATACCTTTAAAAAAACATTGGCAGTGTATGCACAGGTGTACATACTTTCCTTCTGCCCCTCCATGACTATTTTGGACGGTAAATAATGCCAAATATATTTTAAGTGGCAGTCGTTCTACCATCAAGCACAACTGACTTGATCACAAGATTAAACATTCTGTTCAGAAATGCTTAAGTTTTAAAAATGGTAAATGTTTATAAGTTAATTATGTCTATTTCTTTAGAGTACTTTTTAAAACCACTCCTCCACCAAAGCGTTTCCAGAGCAGCTTACATATAATCAGGAATACAAGACAGTCCAGCAGGGCATGACAGACAAGGAAGGAGTAGGGAATTTAGACTTTCTGCAAGCCCGGTGTAAAGGACTCCGCTTCCCAGCCCCTTTTCCACAGTTCAGCATTGTTCTGTCATCCTTTTACAGTCCCAGGGAACACGTGGTCTCCGTAGATGAATGGCAGGGAATGTGGAGTGAGGTTCCTGAAACTACTCCTCCTCCTGCTGACGGATGGAATTGGGTTGCCTCCCCTCTTGGCGTGATGTTACTGCAGGAGAGCAGCAGGCTCCCAGTGGCTCTCCCAGGTGCCCTGCAAATTAACATAGCCATGCTTTCAAAGCAGCCTAAGGCTATTGTAGAATAAGTCATCTGGGAAGGGACCATAGCTCAACAGGCAGAGCATCCGACATGCACAGGTTCAATCCCCAGCATCTCCACTTGAAAGGTTTGTGTAGAGAAGACCCATTCAACTGTGAAAGACCAAATGATAGGAAAGCATAGACAGGGCAGGGCTGTTCCACGGACTTCAAAGGAGCAGTTGCTGCTTAGGTCCCACGAAGCTGGCCTGGCCCCTGTGGCATGGCCTGCAGGAAAGAGAAATGTTGAATTGTTGGCAGGGCCGGCCCAGCTATGAGGCAGGCTGAGGTGATGGCCTCAGGCAGCTGATCAGGTGTAAAGCAAGGACAGTAAATGGAAGGACAGTAAGGGCTTAATTACTGCACCTTCAGGGCCTGATGGGGCAGTAACACTTGCAGGCGTTTCTGACTCAGGGGCCCAAAGGCCTCGAGTTGCTATGCAACTTGATGGGGAAGGTGGACTCATGGGATTCCGGTTGCCTTGCCTGAAAAAGAACATCACTGAGATGTAAAAGGTTAGGACAACAAAAATGATCGGGGGGCCGGAGCAGCTCTCCTGTGAGGAGCATCTATGACAACTGGGACTATTTGGCTTAGAATCATAGAGTAGTCGGGTTGGAAGGGGCCAGAGAGTCCAACGCCCTGCTCAGCGCAAGACTCCCAAGTCTTGAATCCTCCCCCCCAGGTAACTGTCCAGTTGCAAGTAAGGGGAGTGAGGCAAGAAAAGAGAGAGGTGTTTAAAATAATGCTTGGTGTGGAGCAAAGAGAGAAGGAGACATTGTTTTCCCTCTTCCATAATACTAGACCCCAGTGGGTCATCCCATGAAGCTGGGAGGTTTAGGACAAATGAAAGGAAATATGTCTTCGTACAGCATATGGTTGCACTGCTGCCATGGGAAGCGGTGATGGCCACCGGTCAGGTTGGCTGTGGCACAGTGGCGTTAGAGTACAACCTCCAACATGCTCCAGTGGGCATGGAAATTGTAGCCCATTGTACCCTGGGGGGCGTCACAATGAGAGGCTGGTGGCAGTTGCCAAATTTCTCCTGGAGAGAGTCAAATTAGATCCTTGGTCAGCTATAAATGACCTTGGGGAAGTCATTGTTGCTCCAGCTGCCTTTCCTTGCAGGGTTGTCTGTTGCTCTGAACTCCTTGGAAAGAGGATAGGATAAAAAAAATGAAATTAAGCCTGAATTGATCCTGAAATTAATTAACCATCCTAAAGTTGATGGTTTGTGCAGTTCCCTGCCTTTTTATGTCATAAATCATGCTCTTTTTTCTATCCTGAACCAGAGTTAAGACTTTTTGATGCTGCTGTATCAGTCTGCCTTTTCTCCCTGGTAATGGACTGCTTTTCCATTGATCCCATAGAATTGAATTATTAGGGAAAAGCCATTCCAGAAAACTGGACCTGTGTTCTAAGGAACTAACTTTTGACACTTTCAGCTATATATTCTTCCCTTCCTTTTTGTCAAAACATCTTCTGCTTCTCAAACTTGTATTCGGCTAGGCGTTATATATTGGCCTGATATGTGTTCACAGACTTTAAATTCAATAATGGGGCTTTTAGGCTGGATAAGATCAAAGCAATCTCCTTAGCATATGCTAGAGGCTGATTCAATATTTGACTTGCTAATTTTTCCCAGGACTCTGAAATAATATCCCTCACATTGTTCCTCTGCACAATACGCATTTGAAATGAAAATAACAGGTCCGTTTTTATGCTCCATGTTGAGATGTCAAGGTTGGACTCTAAAGGTGCAGCTGTGAAAAGGAGTTGATTCTGATGTGTTGATCCTATTAAGTTTCATGTGCAAAGCAGGAGCTTCAGTTCTCAGATGACTGACGGGTTTGTTCATTTATACTTTTCTTGCCACGGACTACATTTCCCCCTGTAGTATCCAGTAATACTTATAAGAATGTCTAGAAGCAAAAACAGGCAGTGTGTGTTTTCAAAAATTACTCTTGCTTCTCCTTTGTTAAAAATGTGGTCTGCTTAGGCTGCTGGTCTACTCATGCCATCACAAATACTCCTGTCTGAAGGGGCCAGAGGTCAGACCCCTGTTCAGTGCTGGACTTCAGGGTAAACCATCCATCCCAAATGGCTGTCCATTTGTACCTTGATGCCGCTAGTGTGAGAGAGCCCACAACCTCCCTAGGGCATGGGTCCCATTGTCCTGCTGATCTTCCTGTGACTTGAGCTCATTATCCCAAGTCCTGCACCCTGGGATGATCCAGGAGAGATCCTGGCCCTCTTCGTTGTGACAGCCTTTCAAGCATTTGTAGGGTGCAATTGTATCCCCCCACCCCCATTCTTCTCTTCTCAAGGCTGAACACGCCCAGTTCCTTCACTCTCTCCTCACAGGGCTTTGTTTCCAGTCCCTGCGTCATCCTTGTTGCCCTTCTCTGAACCCTTTCTAGCTTGTTTGCATCTTCAACTGGACACAGTCCTCTTGGTCCATACTTTCTACTGCCCTTTTGATTCTACCTTGTTGGTCCTGTTGTAACAACCAGGGCTTCCTCCTTGCTTCTCTGAAGGTTAAAACACAGTCCGACCAGTAAATGGAAGTGTGTTACAAGCAAGAAAACAAAGGACGGGGAAGTGGGGATCTCCCCTACCAAATTCTGCTGCCAAAGTCCTGTTTGCAGCCCCTGTTCACTCACTCCGATCACTTGCTCCCTGGGAGCTTGGCTGATTGTATCCCAGAGTCCTTGGACCAGCTGGGACAGCTTCCTTTAATCTGCTCAGCTAAGAATCAGAAACCATCTCTCTCTCTCTCTCTCTCTCTCTCTCTCTCTCTCTCTCTCTCTCTCTCTCTCTCTCTCTCTCTCTCTCTCTCTCACACACACACACACACACACACACACACACACACACACACACACAGGGGGAGAAAGAGAGAGAGAGTTTCTGCTTCAATTTCTGCTTTAGGTGGCATATTTTTAGCAATAAATCATGCAAAATAGGGAACTGTACAAGTCGAACATGTAGCAGGATGAATTGTTCTGGTTCGGGGCTGGCTGGAATGCGCCATTTTCACCCCTTCTTCCTGTTTTTCTGTTCATGGCCCACAAAAGTCAAGTCAGTGTTTCATGACCACTGGGACACACTGTCCTTGTAGGGGTGTAGCTCCCCACTTGTAGGGGTTTTTGTTTAGTGGGGGTGTAAAGCCTTTTTTTTTTTTTTTTTTGGTGCTCCTGTCACACTGGGTGTTAGCCCAAGACTGGTGATGCCTCCATCTTCTGAACAGTGAAATTGAAGGCTGCTCTTGCGGAGTAGCTTTTGGCTTATACCATCCTTCCTCAGCCTGGTGGCCTTCAGAGGCATTTGGACCGCAACTCCCAGAAACCCATCCAGCAGAGCTATTGACCGGGAGTTCTGGGTGTTGCAGTCCAAATGCGTTTGGAAGGCACAAGTTGCGGAGGGCTAGAACCGATACCTTCCACCACCTTTGCCCCAGAGAGTGGTTTGGAAGAGGCATCTTAATTTGTGGTGTGTGCATTCATTCCACGTTTACCTCTGGTAAACAGGATTGGCAGGTTGTGTATATTTTCTAAAACCTGCCAAAGCTACTTGCCTAGAGGACAGTATGGAAAGAATAGAAATGTGTGCCTAGTTTTGAATTGCTTTTATTAACATTTACGGCTGCTTCTAATGTAAAATTTAAGACAACCAAACTGCAACAAATACAATAAAGTGAAAACAATTGGAAAGAAGATTGGGAAAGTAGGTACTATTTCACAGAGTTCAAGAACCAAACATATCGATAAAGAGGCTACATGGCTTGGCTTGCCTTTTTTATTTTGTAAGGGCTTGGTGAGGTTATTCTTCAAACAGGAGACAGTCACAAGCAAGCCCTTATCCCCCCTTTCAACCGGTTAAAACTCTGATATTAGGACATGGAGAAGCACGGCCTTAACACACAGCCAAGTTCAGTGGGAAATAAAGAAACATCTCCGTTTCGACTCACTTCCAGCCCTCTCCAAGATGGTTGTCTGTCTCTGTCCTACTTTGACCGAAACAAACTCTGAGTTATGGGGCAATCCAGAAAACAAGCTCATAGCACAGGCAAAAGGTCAAGCAGCAAAATTCAGTCCAGTAAGGGGGCAGGCAGGCAGGTTTGGTCAATGTACA